AATTCAAATTTTTAAAAATGCACCAAAAACTAAACCCTACACCCATCAATATAAACTCTTCACCCTAAACCCAAACCCCACAGTGTAACACCAACCCCCTCCCTCCCCTAAAAAACCCTACACCCTACACCCTAAACCCAAACCCCCCCTCCCCTACAATAACTATAATTTTTTTATTGTATTCATCGTTTTTGTTGTTGTCTACTTTTTATTCTTATTTTTGTAACCTTGATTGGTTTTATGTTTGTCTTCTCTTTTTCATTTTTTCCACATAATCTTCCTCGTTCGCTTTGAAATGTACAAAAGATTTATCACTTCTTGATTTCTTCTCCCTCTTATTATTCTCCAATAATCACATTTTTCTTTTTTCTTTCAGTTTAATATTTGTATTCTCATCATCTTTTTCTTCTCCTTCTTCCATTTTTTGTTCTTCAATCTTTTTTCTTGTGTCTCCATATCCTCAAACTCACTATTCTTCTTTTTCTTTCTAATTTTATTTATATTATTTTTCTTGTTTTTTTTCAACCTCCAACCCCCCTCTATCTTTATCATTTTGTCTTCTATGACATGATATTATTCTAATTTTTATTTATTTATTCTTTATTTTCTTTTCTCTTCACATTCTATTTTTTCTTTATTTATTTCTTTTTCACATATTCGATTTTTGTTCTTTTTCTTCTCCAAATTTCGCATCTTCTTTTTCACTATCATTTTTTCTTTTACTCGTATTATTATTAGTTATTGTCTACATGTTGTATTTCAGCTATCAATTCATTCCATACTTTAGATTTTCAAGGATTTTTGAAATAATTTTTATCTTTATATAGTCCAGATCTTTTAAAAATCTATTGGTTTTGTTATCTTTCGATTTTATATTTACTTACAATTGGTTTAGGTTTTTTCTATTTGTGAATGTAATTTATAAAAATAAATATGAATTTATAATAAATGATTTTTAATTATGATATTGTTTTATAATAATTCAAATTTTTAAAAATACACCAAAAACTATACCCTACACCCATCAATATAAACTCTTCACCTTAAACTCAAACCCCACAATGTAACACCAACCCCTCCCTCCCCTAAAAAACCCAACACCCTAAACCCAAACCCCCCCTACAATAAGTATATTTTTTTTATTGTATTCATCGTTTTTGTTTTTATCTACTTATTATTCTTATTTTTGTAACTTTGATGTGTTTTATGTTTGTCTTCTCTTTTTCATTTTTTTCTACATAATCTTCCTTGTTCGCTTTGAAATGTACAAAAGATTTACCACTTCTTGTTTTCTTCTCCCTCTTATTATTCTCCAATTATCCCATTTTTTCTTCTTTCTTTCAGTTTAATATTTGTATTCTCATCATCTTTTTCTTCTCCTTCTTCTAATTTTTGTTTTTCAATCTTTTCTTATGTCTCCATATCTTAAAACTCAGTATTCTTCTTTTTCTTTCTAATTTTTCTTTACATTCTTTTTCCGGTTTTTTTTCTTCCTCAAACCCCCTCTCCCTATCTTTATCATTTTGTCTTCTATGACATAATATTACTCTAATTTTTATTTATCTCTTCTTTGTTTTCTTTTCTCCTCACATTCTATTTTTTCTTTTTTTCTTTTCTTTTACCACATATTTGATTTTTCTTCTTCTTCGTCTCCAAATTTCTCATCTTCTTTTTCACTATGTTATTTTCTTTTACCCGTATTATTATTAGTTCTTGTCTACATCTTGTATTTCAGCTATCAATTCATTCAATAGTATAGATTTTCAAAGATTTCTGGAATAATTTTTATCTTTATATAGTCAAGATCTTTTAAAAATCTATTAGTTTTGTTATATTTCGATTTTATATTTACTTAATTGGTTTAGTTTTTTTTCTATTTATGAATGTAATTTAGAAAAAAAATATGAATTTATGATAAATGATTTTTAACTATGATATTCTTTCATAATAATTCAAATTTTTAAAAATGCACCAAAAACTAAACCCAACACCCATCAATATAAACTCTTCACCCTAAACCCAAACCCCACAGTGTAACACCAACCCCCTCCCTCCCCTAAAAAACCCTACACCCTAAACCCAAACCCCCTACCCCCTATAATAAGTATATTTTGTTTATTGTATTCATCGTTTTTGTTTTTGTCTACTTCTTATTATTATTTTTGTAACATTGATCTGTTTTATGTTTGTCTTCTCCTTTTCATTTTTTTCTACATAATCTTCCTCGTTCGCTTTGAAATGTACAAAAGATTAACCACTTCTTGTTTTCTTCTCACTCTTCTTATTCTCCACTTATACCATTTTTTCTTTTTTTTTCTTTCAGTTTAATATTTGTATTCTCATCATCTTTTTCTTCTCCTTCTTCCAATTTTTGTTCTTCAATCTTTTCTTGTGTCTCCATATTCTAAAACTCACTATTCTTCTTTTCCTCTCCATATTTCTCATCTTCTTTTCCATTGAGTTTTTTCTTTTACTCGTATTTTTATTAGTTCTTGTGTACGTCTTGTATTTCACCTATCAATTCATCTTATAGTTTAGATTTTCAATGATTTATGAAATAGTTTTTTTTTATATTTATATAGTTGAGATCTTTTAAAAATATTTGTTATCTTTCGATTCTAGATTTGCTTTAATTGGTATAGTCTTTTTTCTATTTGTGAATGTAATTTAGAAAGGTAGATATAAAGTTATAATCAATGATTTATAATTCTGATTTCTATAATAATTCAAATTTTTAAAAATGCACCAAAAACTAAACCCTACACCCACCAATATAAACCCTACACCCTAAAATCCAAACCCCACATTGTAACATTTTTTCTTTTTTTTTCTTTCAGTTTAATATTTGTATTCTCATCATCTTTTTCTTCTCCTTCTTCCAATTTTTGTTCTTCAATCTTTTCTTGTGTCTCCATATTCTAAAACTCACTATTCTTCTTTTCCTCTCCATATTTCTCATCTTCTTTTCCATTGACTTCTTTTCCATTGACTTTTTTCTTTTACTCGTATTTTTATTAGTTCTTGTGTACGTCTTGTATTCCACCTATCAATTCATCTGATAGTTTAGATTTTCAAGGATTTATGAAATAGTTTTTTTTTATATTTATATAGTTGAGATCTTTTAAAAATATTTGTTATCTTTCGATTCTAGATTTGCTTTAATTGGTATAGTCTTTTTTCTATTTGTGAATGTAATTTAGAAAGGTAGATATAAAGTTATAATCAATGATTTTTTTTTTTTTTTTGACAAGGTTATTCTATTACTCAAGCTTGAGTTGGTGTGGTTACCCACCCCGGAACAGAACAACCCAGTTATAATCAATGATTTATAATTCTGATTTCTATAATAATTCAAATTTTTAAAAATGCACCAAAAACTAAACCCTACACCCACCAATATAAACCCTACACCCTAAAACCCAAACCCCACATTGTAACACCACCCCCCCCCCCAAACGACCCTACACCCTAAACCCAAACCCCACGTTATAACTCTCCCCCTCCCCCAAAACGACCCTACATCCTAGACCGAAACCCCACGTTATAACTCTCCCCTAAACCGCACACCTGAACCCCACATTTTACAAACTGGTTCTGGATTTGCTTAAATTTTTATTTTTCCTTAATTTTTTTTGTTTATAATCGGTAATGTAGTGTATTCAAATTTTTTAAAATGCAACAAAAATTAAACTTTGCGCCAATCAGTATAAACCATACATCGTGTACCCCAACCCCATTTTTTTTATTTTTTTTACTTCTTTCATATCTTTTTCCTTCATTTTCTACCGTTTTTCCTTATTCTTATCAAAATTTATAATCTCTTTTTCTTTTCCTCTCTCTTCATCGATATCTTTTTATTTCCTGGTTTTTATTCGTTTTCTTCCTTTTATTTACAGTTTGTTTTTCAACTGGCTTTGTGTTCTTATTCTTCATTTTTTATCTTTTTATTTTTCCACTTCTTTATTATTCACATATTCTTCAATTCTTTTCTTCTTTTGTTTTGTTTTTTTGTTCGTTTTTTCTGTCTTCGTCTTCCAACTTTTGTCTTTCCTTATTTTTATTCAAGTTTTCCTTCATCATTTTCTAGTATCACTCTTTTTCTTTTTTGGAACATCTTATTTATCAGTTTCATCTTCCTGTTTATTTTATGTTTTATTTTTTTTCTAGTCTTCGCATATTTCTTTTTCTTCATCTCCTCATATATTTTTGCTATTTTTTTTTCAGTTGTAGTTCTTTCATCTTCTTTATTTTCTTTGTCTTTATCTTCTCGTACTTTACTTTCGTCTTATTTATCCTCCGATTTTCTTCTTTCAAATTTTCCTTATTATGTTATTCTTCTTCATTATATGTGTTTTTTTTATCTAAATCCATCTTTTCGGGTATTATACTTTGCTTCTTCAATCTATGATTGAATCCAAGTTATAAATATAGTTTCACAACCACACACAATCAATAACCCACGAAATATATATTCGTATAACACGTCGATATCCACTTGCTTTCCATTTTGGTGTACCTAAATGTTTCGTCTTTGATAGCTTTCTCAAAATTCTTGTTACATAGCTAAAACGAAAGGGTCAACAAAGATGATCTCAGTTCGTTGGTGGACATGGTTATTTGGCGTCTGCAACTTGCTTTCCAGATCTCCAATTTCTTCGAGTAATGCCTCCTTCTCTCCAGTATCAAAATTTGACTTTTTTGGAGTGGTCATCCTCATCAACTGTTTTATTATATCTATTCTTCGTCAATATCAAATTTTGGCAGCAATAAAGAGTGGTTAAGACTAACTCTTTGTTGATTCAATTTTTTCGACTCCCTATCAAGAGACGATAGGTGCGGTTATTTTTTTGGATGCTTCACCTTCACCCCCTTGCCTTTCTTTTACCCGAGAGGATTCTCCATGTCTTTTTCAAATCACTTGTGGGCTCTTCTCACGTTTTCTTGACGTCTCATGACGTGAAATCTTCTTCACATCTTCTTTAGTTTTCTCTTTAACCAAACTATGCTCCCTTTTCTTTCTTAGGTAAGCAACCTTCTTTCTTGCTTGGTATCATCTTTGAACACCACCAACGTCCTTGACGTCTCGTGCATGGATCTCTCTCCATGTCTTCTTCGGTTAACTCTTCAACAGACTTGTGCTCCATTTTTCTCCGAGGTAAGCATCCTCTTTGTGCTCCATTTTTCTCTGAGGTAAGCATCCTCTTTTCTTGCTTGGTGATTTCCTTTGATCACCATCAACGTCCTTGACGTCTCCGCGCATGGATTCTCTCTCCACGTCTTTTTCGGTAACTCTTCAACCGACTTGTGATCCATTTTTCTCCGAGGTAAGCATCCTCATCCTCAACGTCTCATTGACGTTAACGTGACTCTTCTTCACGTCTCCGGTAAACTTTGTAACCGTCTTCATGTGTGGATCTCATTATCCACCATGTTCTCCGGCTAGTTTGTGTAACCGTTTTCATACGTGAGTCTCATTATCCACTTTTTCGGTTATTGTGTAACCGCTTCAATGCGACTTTCTCTGTTTCTCTTAAACAGGTGGCTTCTCCATCAAGTTTCAGAACTCTCCTTCCGTAATTCCGATTCCACATTCCGCTTTCTCCATAGCATTTGAGAAGATCTCTTATCTCCTCCAACTTTATTGGAGCCTTCCTCTTTAGGTACCGCATGTGGATACGTTTGTGAAGGTTCATGGTGTCTCTCTCTTGTCACGTCTTTTTTTTCTATTCTTCTTCTTCTTCTCTCTGGTTAGTCTCCATCTTTCTCTTCTTCTTGCAGCAGACTTCTTCTTATTCTTATTGTGCTTAAACAGGCTCCATGACCAACATAAGCTCTGATATTATGTTGAATTTTAGATTACGAAACAGAGTAGGAGTAAGAAGGAGACAAAACAGCGCAAGATTCAGGAAAGGCTTGAGTCCAATAAACCCAATAAGCATTATCTAAGCACAGAGTCACGTAAAACTATTAGCACAACATACCAAACTATTAATATGAAGATTAAATATACCAAAATGGCATAATATAGTACCTTTATGCATATCTTCGTTTTCTTATGACTTGGTATGCGCCCACCGTCACAGCGTCGCGTCGTTGATGTAGAAGATCATAGTTTGCCGTTTGTGTTCTCAAATCAAGGGAAAAGTGATAAAATTTAAGGAGGAAGAGAAAACAAACGATCACGACCTATCATTATTCCTTTGTTGACCAATTAGATTACAATCGCCATGTCTTTTCAAATAAACATCTACGTTTGCTAGATTATGGCTTCGACGGAGCTTGGTGGCGAAGAGAAAAAAATACCTATGATTTTGTATACCACATATGGTTTTATATTTATATATAGAGAGATTTAGGTCTAGATTTTAGATTTTTTTTAGTTTTCTATTTTAATGATATGATATATTTGTTTCCTTTTTTATGATTATTATCGTAAAATATTTATAATTAGAAATATAATTAGTAAAATTTTAAAAAAGGAAATTATGAATATCTTAAAAAAGGATTTTCATTAAGGGTAGCTGGGTAATCAACAAGCTGAGAGTTAACGTGGTGCCTCTAAACGAAATTTTTACTTCGCAAATAATATGAAGATTTAAATATACCAGAATGGCATAATATAGTACCTTTATGCATATCTTCGTTTTCTTACAACTTGGTATGCGCCCACCGTCACAGCGTCGCGTCGTTGATGTAGAAGATCATAGTTTGCCGTTTGTGTTCTCAAATCAAGGGAAAAGTGATAAAATTTAAGGAGGAAGAAACGACCTATCATTATTCCTTTGTTGACCAATTAGATTACAGTCGCCATGTCTTTTCAAATAAACATCTACGTTTGCTAGATTATGGCTTCGACGGAGCTTGGTGGCGAAGAGAAAAAAAGACCTATGATTTTGTATACCACCTATGGTTTTATATTTATATATAGAGAGATTTAGGTCTAGATTTTAGATTTTTTTTAGTTTTCTATTTTAATGATATGATATATTTGTTTCCTTTTTTATGATTATTATCGTAAAATATTTATAATTAGAAATATAATTAGTAAAATTTTTAAAAAAGGAAATTATGAATATCTTAAAAAAGGATTTTCATTAAGGGTAGCTGGGTAATCAACCAGCTGAGAGTTAACGTTGTGCCTCTAAACGAAATTTTTACTTCGCAAAAAATATGAAGATTAAATATACCATAATGGCATAATATAGTACCTTTATGCATATCTTCGTTTTCTTACGACTTGGTATGCGCCCACCGTCACAGCGTCGCGTCGTTGATGTAGAAGATCATAGTTTGCCGTTTGTGTTCTCAAATCAAGGGAAAAGTGATAAAATTTAAGGAGGAAGAAACGACCTATCATTATTCCTTTGTTGACCAATTAGATTACAGTCGCCATGTCTTTTCAAATAAACATCTACGTTTGCTAGATTATGGCTTCGACGGAGCTTGGTGGCGAAGAGAAAAAAATACCTATGATTTTGTATACCACATATGGTTTTATATTTATATATAGAGAGATTTAGGTCTAGATTTTAGATTTTTTTTAGTTTTCTATTTTAATGATATGATATATTTGTTTCCTTTTTTATGATTATTATCGTAAAATATTTATAATTAGAAATATAATTAGTAAAAATTTTAAAAAAGGAAATTATGAATATCTTAAAAAAGGATTTTCATTAAGGGTAGCTGGGTAATCAACAAGCTGAGAGTTAACGTGGTGCCTCTAAACGAAATTTTTACTTCGCAAATAATATGAAGATTTAAATATACCAGAATGGCATAATATAGTACCTTTATGCATATCTTCGTTTTCTTACAACTTGGTATGCGCCCACCGTCACAGCGTCGCGTCGTTGATGTAGAAGATCATAGTTTGCCGTTTGTGTTCTCAAATCAAGGGAAAAGTGATAAAATTTAAGGAGGAAGAAACGACCTATCATTATTCCTTTGTTGACCAATTAGATTACAGTCGCCATGTCTTTTCAAATAAACATCTACGTTTGCTAGATTATGGCTTCGACGGAGCTTGGTGGCGAAGAGAAAAAAAGACCTATGATTTTGTATACCACCTATGGTTTTATATTTATATATAGAGAGATTTAGGTCTAGATTTTAGATTTTTTTTAGTTTTCTATTTTAATGATATGATATATTTGTTTCCTTTTTTATGATTATTATCGTAAAATATTTATAATTAGAAATATAATTAGTAAAATTTTTAAAAAAGGAAATTATGAATATCTTAAAAAAGGATTTTCATTAAGGGTAGCTGGGTAATCAACCAGCTGAGAGTTAACGTTGTGCCTCTAAACGAAATTTTTACTTCGCAAAAAATATGAAGATTAAATATACCATAATGGCATAATATAGTACCTTTATGCATATCTTCGTTTTCTTACGACTTGGTATGCACCCACCGTCACAGCGTCGCGTCGTTGATGTAGAAGATCATAGTTTGCCGTTTGTGTTCTCAAATCAAGGGAAAAGTGATAAAATTTAAGGAGGAAGAAACGACCTATCATTATTCCTTTGTTGACCAATTAGATTACAGTCGCCATGTCTTTTCAAATAAACATCTACGTTTGCTAGATTATGGCTTCGACGGAGCTTGGTGGCGAAGAGAAAAAAATACCTATGATTTTGTATACCACATATGGTTTTATATTTATATATAGAGAGATTTAGGTCTAGATTTTAGATTTTTTTTAGTTTTCTATTTTAATGATATGATATATTTGTTTCCTTTTTTATGATTATTATCGTAAAATATTTATAATTAGAAATATAATTAGTAAAATTTTTAAAAAAGGAAATTATGAATATCTTAAAAAAGGATTTTCATTAAGGGTAGCTGGGTAATCAACCAGCTGAGAGTTAACGTGGTGCCTCTAAACGAAATTTTTACTTCGCAAATAATATGAAGATTTAAATATACCAGAATGGCATAATATAGTACCTTTATGCATATCTTCGTTTTCTTACGACTTGGTATGCGCCCACCGTCACAGCGTCGCGTCGTTGATGTAGAAGATCATAGTTTGCCGTTTGTGTTCTCAAATCAAGGGAAAAGTGATAAAATTTAAGGAGGAAGAAACGACCTATCATTATTCCTTTGTTGACCAATTAGATTACAGTCGCCATGTCTTTTCAAATAAACATCTACGTTTGCTAGATTATGGCTTCGACGGAGCTTGGTGGCGAAGAGAAAAAAATACCTATGATTTTGTATACCACATATGGTTTTATATTTATATATAGAGAGATTTAGGTCTAGATTTTAGATTTTTTTTAGTTTTCTATTTTAATGATATGATATATTTGTTTCCTTTTTTATGATTATTATCGTAAAATATTTATAATTAGAAATATAATTAGTAAAATTTTTAAAAAAGGAAATTATGAATATCTTAAAAAAGGATTTTCATTAAGGGTAGCTGGGTAATCAACCAGCTGAGAGTTAACGTTGTGCCTCTAAACGAAATTTTTACTTCGCAAAAAATATGAAGATTAAATATACCATAATGGCATAATATAGTACCTTTATGCATATCTTCGTTTTCTTACGACTTGGTATGCGCCCACCGTCACAGCGTCGCGTCGTTGATGTAGAAGATCATAGTTTGCCGTTTGTGTTCTCAAATCAAGGGAAAAGTGATAAAATTTAAGGAGGAAGAAACGACCTATCATTATTCCTTTGTTGACCAATTAGATTACAGTCGCCATGTCTTTTCAAATAAACATCTACGTTTGCTAGATTATGGCTTCGACGGAGCTTGGTGGCGAAGAGAAAAAAATACCTATGATTTTGTATACCACATATGGTTTTATATTTATATATAGAGAGATTTAGGTCTAGATTTTAGATTTTTTTTAGTTTTCTATTTTAATGATATGATATATTTGTTTCCTTTTTTATGATTATTATCGTAAAATATTTATAATTAGAAATATAATTAGTAAAATTTTTAAAAAAGGAAATTATGAATATCTTAAAAAAGGATTTTCATTAAGGGTAGCTGGGTAATCAACCAGCTGAGAGTTAACGTGGTGCCTCTAAACGAAATTTTTACTTCGCAAATAATATGAAGATTTAAATATACCAGAATGGCATAATATAGTACCTTTATGCATATCTTCGTTTTCTTACGACTTGGTATGCGCCCACCGTCACAGCGTCGCGTCGTTGATGTAGAAGATCATAGTTTGCCGTTTGTGTTCTCAAATCAAGGGAAAAGTGATAAAATTTAAGGAGGAAGAAACGACCTATCATTATTCCTTTGTTGACCAATTAGATTACAGTCGCCATGTCTTTTCAAATAAACATCTACGTTTGCTAGATTATGGCTTCGACGGAGCTTGGTGGCGAAGAGAAAAAAATACCTATGATTTTGTATACCACATATGGTT